ATTTACAAATTTGTAACACTTTTTATATTTACACTTAAATTTAATATTCTTTTCGTTGATAGAAAGGAGAATACATTAGCGAAAGAGAAATATAGAGAGATTCAAACAAACAATAATTTTTAACATTTATTACACTATTTTAATATATACTTTAAAATATATTTGTAATTTAATTCATTATAAAACTTACTTTTATTGACTTACTTTGAAATTAAATTATTAACAATATAACAATTATTATTAAATTATAGTTTGGGTGCGAGAAGAATAGGAGAGGGGTGGCAGAGGGCAGAGTGAACTTATAAACTACTCAATTTTCATAATGAATTGCAGATTAAAATATTAGTGAATTCATGATCCTTATTTGTTATAAACCGAAAAATGACCATGTTAAACAGTACCTCTTTATTTCATTGATCTACCCTTTATAGTTATATAAGTCTTTCCACAAGTCATTGAATTATTGTAATCAATGTTAGTTATTATTCATACATAATTTTACAATTATCTTAAATATTACATAATATAAATTATATTATAAATTTATATAAATTATTTCATTATTTTAGAAAAATATATTGTTTCACATAAATAAGTAAATTATATTTTATACAATTATTAATATTTATTTTTATATTAAAATAATTTTATATTGGTTATGAAATATTGTAAAATGTTGTATTGTAAATAACTTAAATATTTTGAATAAACAATATATACGCAAATCTAAAATGCAAATTAAAATAATAATAATAATATCTCGTAAAACGTTTACATAGTGTATAATAGGTTTCACTGGTTTCAATCAAATGTTTGTTAAGTTAATTGAATAGTTTGTAAACAATTAGCAAATTAAAAGTGTTAAATAAAACAGTATAATAAAAGCGCAAATACAACTCAAAAAGATTGGCCACATTATTATTGGAATAGGTTTTTATTATTGTAGTCTCTTTAATGTGTTGAGATAGAGGGTTAGCTGCTAAATAAAATGTTATCATGTTATTTATTAAATTAGATATAATTTATTATAAATTGCATATTGATTATTTGTTAATTGTAGATTACATCACTGTTTTAATCAATCTATTGTCATTTACTATTTATTGGCATTTTCTACTAAAGCTTAATCATAAATGAGACAACATTTCCATTTTATATTATTTTAAGATTTTAAGATTTGCTAAATCTAACCATGGTTAAGGTGATAAAAATGAGAATTCACTAAGATTTCACATGTTATCTATCATTTATCTATCATAATGAATACTATAAAAATATCAATTCAATAAGTATTAGTACACAAAATATATACTGTAATAATAAATGAATACATACACGAGACGGACATAAATTTCTCGTCCGATGGTTTGTGACTGATTTCCGTTAAAGTGATCTCACATTTGTAGAGACCGCTGGCCTTTGCGCTCACTTTGTCCAGAGATACCGTTTCTCCCATTGATTTATATAACTATTAAAAATATAATGTTTTTAAATAAATAAATAATAATAATAATTGTTGTCGATTTAGTCAAATGTCAGAATGTACTACATTTAAATTGTGTATTATTTTGTAATTAAATAAATAAATTAAAATTAATAAAATTATTATTTCAATATAACATATGATAATTAAATACCATGGATTGAATGATAACTCACGTTAACGTTAATGTTTTGCAATGGAAATACTTGTTTAACTTGTTTTGCTCGCGGAGTGTATCGGAAGAACTCCCGTTCCTCTGAATACACGTCTTTTCTATGAAACCATTTCAACGAATACAGGGATGTGTTGTACAACTCGTGCAAACACGACAACTGGACATCACTGCCTTCGGAAACTGATTTCGGGACATTCATTGTCACTATCGGGTGTCCAGCCATTGCTATTCACACCAAATATATTTTAGATTTTTATATAAAATTTAATTTAATGTTAGGAATAAATAGACAAACATTTGTAAGTAAATGTTAGAATTGCGGTCAATAAGAATAATAATTTCATATTCGCCCCCATTTTTGATTGCAATAAAAAGAGTGTATAAAAAGACAAATCTATTACTGTATGAAATACTGGCAATTATTGAAAATTATTAGCCTTTTAAATGTTGGGCTCAGTTCTCAGTAAGAAAATTAAGCAAAATGACATAATTTATATAAATATGAAATTGCCAACAATTATATTCTAAAGTGATGTATTTTTATTATGAATAATATCAATAATAATATGAAACTATCCAATCAATCTCGTTATTAGATTAAATTGATGTGAATTAAATGTACAGTATTGCTGCTAATGACATTGAAACTCTCTCTCTCTCTCTCTCTCTCTCTCTCTCTC